GCATGCGGCAGAGAGGGAGAGAGCGAGAGACCTTGTGTGTGTGCCTCATGAAGCGCATGTAAGACAGAGAGTATCCTGATTGGCCGATTGATAAAAATCGAGAATCGAATCGAACCGTGACCTTAGAATCGGAAATGTAATCGATTCGAGGATTTGGAGAATCGTGACATAGTGCCATGAAGAATTCTGGAAAAACGCAAAAGGTCTGTTGTGGTATGTCATACGGAACCGTTGTCACTGAAACTACTTTAACGAAGACAGTGGGCCTCGACAGCCTTAGTCAAACGGGTTGACGCGTATGGTTGGGTTTCGGAGAGATTGTGATTAGGTCTAAGCAGCAGGAGGGATGTAGAGGTCCGTAAGCTGGGCTGAGCTGAGTGGGGGACGGAGGGGGGTGACTCTGGGGGTCACTGTTGAGCCCTCTTGGGGTGTCGTGGGCTAGTCGACGAAACACTGAGGACGGAAGGTGCCCACTTGAAGACCCTATCCACAAGTTTCCTATGCCCCATGGGGCCTTGCGTCAAAAGTGGGCGCGTCTTCCGGTTCGAAGTAAACAAAGCGCGACTTGACATACTTCACACTCGTTCATTCAACAGTTGACAGTCATTCAAGATATAGCGATCCAAACTAGCTAACGATGTGGGAACATAACCTCAACGAAATTAAAAAGGGTGAAATAACAGTACCTTTATCCTCCACAACTCTGGTTGGGAGTATTATAATAACTTTATTAATAATCAATACTCATCAAGGCATGGTGACAGACAGTTGTGCGAGCTGACAAACAATTAAAAAAAAAAATACACACTTAGTCATTGTGCTTTGGAGTTTATTCAAAATTATAAATGAATGTGCTGCTTGAATACATTAACTGGCACATTTGGTATTCTGTCAACACAGGCTTTGATCCTGAGTTTAGGTGTAACATCAGTAGCGAACAGCCAATCACATGCTGATAGAGTTTATAGAACATTAAGAATTTAAACAAATGTACACAGGAAGATTCGTCGACTTTTGGGAGGTGATGGAAACTACAGTCGTTGGCAGGATCAGAGACGGGCTCTGCAGGATCACTCTGATTTCGTTTTCAGCTTATGTTCAAAACAATCCCGTTTAAGCCACTGAATTAGTTTAGTCCGGTTATGAATACAACCGCGAACAGCACATGTTGTCCCTGAGCTCCGTAACGACATCTCTCATAAAGATTTGAGTCTTTAAATAGTAAAATAATTCACCGAAAAACAGCTAGCCTCTTCGCTAACTAACACACAAAATACTATTGGAATGCTACATCCGCCGCGTCACCGGAAGTTTCACCCACTTTATTTTTTACAGGAGCGCCCCTCGGAAACTTGTGGATAGAGATGTCCCCTACTCGGCTCAATCCAGACGGTTGTGGTGCTGGTCCAGTAAGACCACACTGTAATTGCAGCCGTAGTGTGTGCTGACGCACCAAGTACACTGCACCGTTAACGCCGGACAGAAGGGGAGTCACACCACCATATGGAAAGAAGTGTAAATGGATGGAGAAGCATAGGTTACTGTAAAGCTACGTCTTAGTTTGTGCGTATCTTGGCGAAAGCCAAGTATAAATCACCATGAAGTTTAACATCCACTCTTGTCTAATGGAAATCATTAGTGAGGGGAAGAACTACAAATCCCATGAGGCATGGCCAACACCATAATAAAAAATGAAATAAAAAAAACAATGGAGAAATAATAAACTAGCCTTCGTTTATAAATACATTATTTTTCAATTTTAAGTATATTGAGAACGAAGGAAGATCGACTCAATTACGTCATTCGCAGTGAGTCATGGGAGTGGGTGGAGCTTGTTTCGACTCAGAATTTTCTGTGCAGCATCATGGGTAATGTAGTTTTCACCAGGAATTCTGCTGTTAAACCCGATTGTTTAAAAAAATAGTTGAAATAATGCAGCCTGACAGCTTTAACAGAAGCAAATACTCTAACTCTCGCTTAACAAGCTCAAAGTACAACTGTCATTAATGGTTTATAAGTTATGATTAAAAATCAATTTCCCTGTGGAGAAAAGTTTTACTTTTAGTTTTTAACTTTAAAAACACTGCTTTTTCATGCACTGGTCAGTTTTGAGATTTTGGCTTTTCATAACATGTAGTTTCAGATTAATGTAAAAAAAAACATCCAAAATACACTTTTACCTGTTTATTTTATTGCATTTGATTCTGTAGATTTCCATACAAAGGTCGTTTTCTCAAACTGAGTTTTCAGAAATCTTCGATCAATCACTAAACTTTACAGTTTTATTCCTATCAATATTCACAAGGGGTTTGTTCATATTGAACATGTTCTTAATTTGCCTGATTTTAATAAACATTTTATTCCAAATTATAGTGATTTTTTTCTGGCTGTTTACAGTAATTTCTGAATTATTTCCAAAACATCCCATTTGTAAAAACCTTTGAGACTTTCATCGGACGTACAGATTTCTGTTCTGGAAATATATGCAAATCAGTGCCTATGTAATTAGATAATGCCTCATTTGCTTAAACGTAATTTCAGAAAACTTGTAATACAAAAAATTTTTTGCAATCTTAATGTAATCAATCAACTAGGGAAGTTATGGTGATAATAACTATTAGTTACATTATTTTCTTATTAGTTACATCATATCCTATTCCTCTGGGGTATTTTGCATTAATATTAAAATATCTTTGGATGACTGACAGTTAAAAAACTTAAGACGTCACGACAGTATTGGGGCGGGGTCTCACATACGTCATCTATTTTTCCTCAACATAAAACAAAACTTAGATAAAAAAATAAAATAAAAAAATAGATTAAATAAATCTTAAGCAATAATTTATTTAGCAAGATGTATGCTTAGAACCGGAAAAAAATTAAAAACGACAAAGAAAAAAAACAGTTATCATGCAATTTAGCGCAACGCTGATTTATCTTGAAATATAGCGGTTAGATTTTTTAAAATAATATTATAATACAGTTTTGCAATACAATTAAATATTTTACAAAGTTCAATATGAATGAGCGACAATGCAGATTGAGTACATGACACCTGTCACAAGCACAATTCTTCTGAATGAAACACCAGTGCACCACTAACTTACAACATATAAATATATGAATGCTGCATTAAGGTTGTAAGTATGTAAATAATAATTTTCTGTGAGGTCTCGCGGTCCATCTGGAAACAAACACGCACGCGCGCGCGCTCCTAATAACCGCCTCGAATAATAACAGCAGCATCGACACAAACCTGTGTTTTTGTGGTCAGCTGTATCACCGCCTTCCTGAAATTTAGCTTAGAGTCCGTATTTCCCATTTTCTTCTGATATGTAGGTTTAATGATGAGGCGCAGCTCTAATCCCCGTCACATCCTCCTTTCTCTCTCTCTCTCTGTGTGTGTGTGTGTGTGTGTCATCTGCGGAGGCGGCGGGGCTGCGCTAAACACACACACTTCCGGCACGAGCATTTAATTCCTACTATGGTAAGGATTTCTTCATGAATATTAATTAGGGGGAGGCTCTATAATTCCATTAGGCGTAACTGATTGGTTAAATGGCAGGCCCGGAGTCAGCTGACTCCTGAATATTACCGTTAGTTTGGTTACGTAACTGGACGCCCAAGAAAGGTTACCAAGCAACGTCAGTCGGCTCTAATTCATATTCATAAGCCAGGCCTATTGAATTTTTTAGATCGAAAATGTAACAACAGACATATTCGTAAAATTTTTCAAATGAAAAGAAAGATTACCCCTAGGGGTAAATTCTACTGGGGTTCCCTTGTAACAAACGTAAATTGGAAGAAGGCTTGGCTTTTACCTAGTAAATTTTGTGTGTCCAACAAAGTTAAAGAAATTCATTATAAGATCCTTCATAAGATCTACCCTGTTAACTCTTCTATTGCTAAATATTCTGATGTTGATGATACTTGCTCCTTCTGTGGTTTTGTTGAGGAAACAACTGCCCATTTATTTTGTGAATGTAATGTAACCAATAGATTTTGGAATAAATTAAGTTCTTTTGTTTTTAGCCCTACAAATACGACCCACACCTTCACTCTCAAAGAGGTTATTTTTTATTATGAAAATCCAAAGTTGCTTTCCCTTGAGTATGTTGTTAACTTCTTTATCTTGTATGCAAAATTCTTCATCCATAAGCAAAAATGGCTTAAATCTCCTTTGAGCTTTCCTCTCTTTCTTGCTGATTTTGACTCTTTTATTTCGTCCCTTAGACTTATAAATAACAAGAAAAGTGAACAATTTTTGATGTATTTTGATGATTTATTCAAAGACATGACTTGGCCTTAATATTATGCTTTTCTTTTTTTTTATGTATTACATAATTTGATGTATGCATACCCAGGATGCTTATTTTCTGTTAGGTACTATTGTTTGTTTGTTTGTACACCTTGCCTTACTTCCCTGTGTTGGTATTTTTGTATAAGTTCTGCAATAAAAAAAAAAAAAAAACAAAAAAAAAAAAAAAAAAAAAAAAAAAAAAAAAAAAGCCAGGCCTCTGCCTAAATAGCCATAGTAGGATTAATAAATTCCAAACGCACTAGGCAGTTGCTAGGAAAACACTGTTTAGCAAATTTCCATTTGAATCTTACTTTTTCTCAGGCATCGCGACCCATTTACAGTGTAACATTATTGAAGAAACACAATCTTGAGTATAAAAAATCTATACAGAAAACATAATAATAAAAAAATAGCCTTCCGATAAAGCAGATTCTAAAAAAGAAAATGTTTATTCTCGTGGAAAGAACGCATGTTACATTTGAATACACGTTTGGAGTAACAATGAAAACGGTACATCAGATTATAAATGTAATATTTTATAAATGTCCTAATATATCGTTATAGCTGCATGGATACATTAAAAAAATACAAATTTGTTCTTGAATAAATTAGGATGAGGAGAGGCGCTCGTGCACATAGGTCGTGATGTCATCACACGATCAGCCAATCCCGTAACGCCCTCGTGTTTTACAGGCTTGAGTTCCGCGCATGCGCAGTGGCATGTAAATAACAGCATCCGCGGTGGTTTGTTTTTGTGTCGCACAGGCTCATTAAATAGACGATTTGCCGGTTTATACTTACAGAAAAACCTTATTATATCTGCTACGTTTGTGAAAGTACGACTCCAAAAAGAATACAGCGTTAAATTAGTCGAAAATCCCGCGAGGTTTTGCAGCTAAGTGAGTGAAGTGTCAGTTAGCACACAGCTATGATAGAGACTAGCCGGATGAGTTTGAGTCTGACACGTTTATGAAGGCAGAATTGATCAAATACGACCTTCGCTTGTTTTCTTACATTTAATTTAGTGATTTGAACGCCTTTGAGCCGAACATGCCGTGTGTGTATGTGTGTTAAGCTGTTAGCAGAGGTGTGATGAAGTGTTGAGTGTAGCATGACACAGCAGGGTGTTGATCAGAGCTGATCCAAGAGCTCAATAATATACGCAAAGATACGAGATCGTGGCATTCACAGACATGCTGACAGAAAACAGGTGAGAAGACATTATTATTTCATCATAAATAATTCGACATGTTTAGTAGTAACGTTGGGCCCAGAGGGGTAGATCTGTCTCTTTCTTCATGCATCTCGATTCACACAAACTCAGAGAGAGGGAATATGCTAGATTGTAGCATTCATATCAGAATTAAGAAACCTAATATGCTATTAAGTATTTATACAAATGAATATAATATAATAATATACAGTCGAACCGAAAATTATTCAGACGCCAGATATTTTTGTACTAGTCTGTGCAGAACATTATAGTTAATTTATGTAAGTGATGAGAGCAAAATAAAGTAAACTTTCTTTCTAACTAATCTATCTTTCTTTTTGACCAATCTTTCTTTCTTTCAAGCTATTCTTTCCTTCTAACAAATATATCTTTCTTTCTACCTTAATCTATCTTTTTCTTTCTAACTAATCTATCTTTCTTTCTAACTAATCTTTCTTTCTAACTAATCTTTCTTTCTTTCTAACTAATCTTTCTTTCTTTCTAACTAATCTTTCTTTCTTTCTAGCTAATCTTTCTTTCTAACTAATCTTTCTTTCTAACTAATCTTTCTTTCTAACTAATCTTTCTTTCTTTCTAGCTAATCTTTCTTTCTAACTAATCTTTCTTTCTTTCTAACTAATCTTTCTTTCTTTCTAGCTAATCTTTCTTTCTAACTAATCTATCTTTCTTTCTAGCTAATCTTTCTTTCTAACTAATCTATCTTTCTTTCTAACTAATCTTTCTTTCTTTCTAGCTAATCTATCTTTCTTTCTAACTAATCTTTCTTTCTAGCTAATCTATCTTTCTTTTTAACTAATCTTTCTTTCTTTCTAACAAATCTTTCTTTCTAACAAATATTTCTTTCTTTCTAACTAATCTATCTTTTTTCTTTCTAACTAATCTTTCTTTCTAGCTAATCTTTCTTTCTTTCTAACTAATCTTTCATTCTAGCTAATCTATATTTCTTTATTTCTAAATAATCTATCTTTCTTTCTAACTAATCTTTCTTTCTTTCTAACTAATCTTTCTTTCTAACTAATCTTTTTTTCTAACTAAGCTTTCTTTCTTTCTAACTAATCTTTTTTTCTAACTAATCTTTCTTTCATTGAAACTTATCTATCTATCTATCTATCTATCTATCTATCTATCTATCTATCTATCTATATTTTATTTATTTGTCTTTCTACCTAATCTTTCCTTTCTTTCTAACCAATCGTTTTCTTTCTAACTATTCTTTTTTTCTAACTAATTCATCTATCAAACTTCAAACTACTTTAAATTTCTTTAAACTCTCTGGTCGACTTTTTCAAGCCAACTTAAAGTTTGTCTCACCAAACCTTTTTTCTTTAATTGCTAATGCTCTTTTCACACACAGACTGAACAACATGAAGCATTGCTTGGTAATTGGTTGATCTAAACTGGTATTATCTAATTGTGTAGTTAAATTTAACAGCTGACAGATATTCAACATAATTCATCTGAGTCTAACAGAAGGACGGACAAAACCAGTCAAATATCCAGTGATAATTCTTGAGTTCTGCTCAGATTTACTACCATTTTCTAAACTATAGCGAATAAACTCTGATAATGTGAGAAATGTTGAAGGTCTGAATACATTTTAGTTCGATATATATAGTGTGACGAAGTATGTTTAATAAAATGGTTCAAATGCCAATGTGATTCTGCTGTTTTTGATCGTCTGCACTGATGTTGTGAAGGAAACGTCAGCGCGCTGATGAAGATGCTCAGATGCCTCAGGCCAAAAGACTGAGTTCGTCCCTCCAGAGCCCTGAGACGGGCAGGGAATCATGGGAGTCTGAGGTATGAAGGGAAATCAATATAAAACAAAGACTCACCTTTCAAATTTGATCATTTTTTTAACTAAATATGAACAATAAATACCGTTTTGTGGCTCTTTAATGTGTCTGACAGATCGCTGTTTCAGTTAAAGCTGCTCGTGAACCGATTATCTCTTCTTTGTAGTTAATTTTTAGCATCAAATAAACATGAATGAACATCAGAAGGAGTGTGTTTTAACCGAGGACATCAGTTTTTCAAGTTCAAATCCTCCAATGTTAATCTACTAACTCCTGACTGCTTTGCCGGACAAAAATGGTCAGATATGGCGGATTATGATCAGATGGTCAGATCGCCTGTCAATCAAACTCCCTGCGACGGGTCCAATAATGATCGAATCATAGACTGTTTAGCATTTTCCTATTTAGATCCAAACAGCGACTTCTTTCTTTGGGACAGGCAGTGTATATTGAACCCGACAGTAGTTTGTGTGTGAGCGCCAGAAAATGTAAAACAAAATGTATGTTTAGATATTAGATTTTAAAAAACTGCCTTTGGCTTGTATTGTAATACAGTTGAGAAAGTGAAGTGTAGGAATGGCATCGGGACATGAAACTCCAAACTTGAACCAAATACTGTAGAATAACACAAGACGCATCACTCGTGTGGTTTTGAATGGGGAAAACTGCAACATTCCATGTGGCGGAATAAGTCCCGCCTTCTAAATAAGAGCCAATCACAGATTGGTAAAGTCCTCGCAAAAAAAAAAAAAATTGTCATTATTCAAGCGTTTGGAAACTAAATTTATGAGACCGTTGCTGTCAGATTTAATTGGTGATTTCAAATATAGAGATTTAATCGTAAGCTTGGCAAACATTTTCGGAGAATTTGATGTTTCCCCATTCAAAGAGATATGAGCTGCACTTGCGTTTCTAAGATGGCCGCCTAGTGAAATGACTCATCGTAAAGGGACTTTGGTAATATTTTTACGCCACAAGATATAGTCCCTGCCGAGGTTCTCAAAGGGACCAAATTTCTCAAAGATGTCGCTGTCCTGATCTTGCGGTGGTTCTTGTTCTTCACAGTCGTCCAGTAGCGAGAGCTGGATCAGCAGTCCGGATCAGTCCGCCACCGGGAGCAACAGTGGACCGGACCTCATCGGGCCCATCAGTCCCATCAGTGCCTCCAAGCAGTCGGGACACATGGACCCGCTGTCCTACCAGCACATCAACCGAGTCCTGCGGGAAGCCCACTTCCACAGCTTACAGAGCCGAGCCCAGGCCAAGCACAGATGACTTTCAGGAAAACACAATCCCACAGTGTGGTCAGAAGTACCGACTTCGGCACCAAGTCGCTACTGAAATTTTAAAAATGTGTTGAGCGTAATCATATACGCTTCTGATTGGCCGCTGTGTTCATGAGCTCGTCGGATTTGTCTGTGATTGGCTACAATGATCAACGAACGGATCGACGCCTGTTTTCAAACGCCCACGTGTGTGTCTAAGCGTTTGCTGAAGAGTGTTATTGATGTATTTTCACAACATGTAGCCAATCACAGACATATTTGATGAGTGTGTAAGTACAATGTCCAATCAGAGCAGAGGTGTTTATGATTATGCTCAAAGCGTCAAATGATTAAAATGTCAGTACTGACTTTGTACCGAAGTCGGTACTTTTGACAGCACTACAATCCCAGTAGCGACAGGGTAAAACCTCTTCATCTCCATCCTCATTCAAACCTGCTTTCTTTGATCTCTCTCTCTCTCTCTCCTCTACTCTATCCTCTCTCTCTCTATCTCTCTCTCTCTCTCTCTCTCTCTCTGTTATGTTGAATTGTCATCGGATGGAAAACACACCCTGGTACTGTACGCTCTCTGACTAACTAGAGCACAAAAGTGTTCATTGTAAGCAATAACGGCTTGACTATGATGCAAACTTTTGTGACTTTCACACTGTGTGTATTCGATTTGGGTTTTTTCAGCTGTATTGAGAAGAAAGGAACATTTTAGTGGGGGTATTTGCACTTGTTGATCAAAAGATATTGATTCGGACCACTTAAAGCAACTCAGCTGTGCACATTTGTAGTCGGGAGGCATATGAAACATGGCAGAATATTGTGTTGGTTAGTTTGCAGTGCTGTAACGAATGCGTGGAGAAGTAAAGCTGGTTGCTCATCCAGGCGTCAGGCCTTCGAGACCCTGCCGAGGTTTTCTTGCGTGCTGTTCGAACTCAGATTGCATTTTAAAAGATTGTTGTTTATTTTTAACTATACCTTTTTGTATGGAAAGATGTACATTTACATTTTACATTCAGATCATCTACATTTCTAAATAAAGATGGATGTTCTTAAGCAAACCTGTGTGACTAACTGTTTATTTATGCTATTAGGATTAGTTCACTTCAGAAGTAACATTTCCTGATCATTTGTTTCCTACCCTCCTACTTTCACTCGCTCCTACGAGTCTACATCTCCACCAGAAGCCTGCGTTCAGTCAATGAGCGACGGCTCGTGGTACCATCACAGAAAGCCACGAAATCACTCTCCAGAACATTCTCATTCACGGCCCCATGCTGGTGAAAATGATCTGAGCATTCAAAAGACAACTGAAAACTCATCTCTTCCGTAAGCACTTAACATAAATCTAAAAAAAAGGAAAGATTGTCTGGCTTATGCTACTCCGAGCAATGCTGTCTGTCAAATTAATTCACTAACAATAAAAGTGTAATATGAACAAAATGAATACCATAAACTTCAAATAATTGCCCAAGCTTTTATTTTCCCATACCGTCGAAATGCACCAGCTTGTTTTTGAGATCTATGAGGCAGGTCTTCATCATTTAGTGTTGAGATTCATAGTGTTTAGTTTAGTTCACTCTAGTGTTTAGTTCATTGAGTCTCTGATCTCTAAAAATCTCCAAATGTTCCACGTGAAACTGCGGTCTTCCAACCTTTTACTATCATGTCAAATGATTTGAATAACATGCGCGATGGTAGGAGCACAAGTCATTTTTTGGAGGTATACTGCCCCCATCTGTTATGGAATATGGAGTAGGATTTGATTTATTATGGTAGATGGCACCTTTAACACGTGCATGAGATTTTACTTGTTAAACTAGATGTGTGTGTGTGTGTGTGTGTGTGTGTGATTCCAGCAGAGAGACACACATCAGCTGAGTATTTCCTTGATTTCAGCTTTATTCACACACACCTGAGGTGTGACGACACCAGATGCGAGACCGAGAGCAGAACACACACTTTACTCCAGTCAACATCTGCTTCATTTCTACACACACTTCCACTGTTATTGCACAATTATTAATAATACACACTGATCTTGTAATGTTCACACACTCATCTGGGGAAATGAGAAACTCTTTCCATTCAAAACAACAACCACCATTCATTGATGCACCTTTGAGCATGGGAAATAAGACTAATAATAATTGACGTTTTGAATCGTAGTGATTGAACAGTCAGTGTGTGTGAGTGTGTGTCAGTGTGACTCTGAAATCAGAATCAAGCAATCAACCTTTTTTTCAATATAGATATACTTCTATACTTTTACAATGCATTATGATTTAAAACACTTATGGCAAACAGCGCTTTATGATCATTAAACACAAAGAAATAAAAGAGAGAGAAAGCGAGAGAGAAAGCGAGAGATAACATATTAAAAATCTTTAAAGAAAGCGTGTGGACAGGATCACATTAGTAATGTAATGCTTAAACTCAGCAGTGCCAGCATGATTAAACTCTGGCCAAACTCTTTAATCTGGTGTTGTGGTCCGGAAGAGTCTCTGAGAGCTGGTCTGAGGGACTCATCACACCCGTGTTTAAGAAAGGGGATCGTCTCGACCCCAACAGTTACCGCGGCATCAGTGTGAGCAGTGCTTTAGGAAAACTGTTCAGCAGCATCATAAACACACACATCGTCACACACATCTCATCACACAACATTTTAAATAAAACACAGATTGGCTTTCTACCGAAACAGCGCACGTCCGTCCACATCTATTCACTCCACACACGGCATGATGGACTACTGTACAAAATCCTAAAAATTGGCGGGAAAACGTTTGATTTAATAAGATCTCTGTACAGCAACAGCAAAAGTGCGGTGAAAATCAGGAACCACAGAAGCGCGTTCTTCCAGCAGGGCCGTGGAGTGTGTGTGTGTGTGTGTGTGTGTGTGTGTGTGTGTGTGTGTGTGTGTGTGTGTGTGTGTGAGAGAGCCTGAAGGGCTGAGTTAGTGTGTGCGTGTGTGTGAGTGTGTATTTATGTATTTCAAAAATTAAAATTGAGAAATTGTTAAATGTTTCCTCATTTTCTTTGAATCTGACACAGAGACACAGAAGAGTTATAATTATAAAGTCTAAATCCAGCACAGAGTGGTTCAGTGAATGTGTGTGTGAATGTGTGTAAGTGTGTGAGTGTGTGTGTGTCAGAGACGCTGTAGAAGGACAGAGTGCCGGCCGACTCGTCCACAAACACTCCTACTCTCTTACAGGATCCTGGAGCAGCAGAAACATCAGTGGGGTTATTATTGTGCCAGACAGAGAGACTGTGATCAGAGCGGATCAGACTCCAGGACTTCTCATTACGTCCAAACCAACAGTCACTCCCTCCTCCTTTCCTCTCGATTCCTTTATAAGACACTGATATTACAGCATCTCCACTCCATTCAGCCTCCCAGTAACAGCGTCCAGTCAGACTCTCTCCACACAGAACCTGTTGATAACACTCAAATCTGTCTGGATGATCAGGATACGACTGACTCTCTTCCACACGCGTCACCTTTCTGTTCTCCTCAGACAGAGCGAGATGAGTGTGTGCTGTGTTTGGATCCAGTGTGAGATCAACAGCGTCTGAACACAAGAACACACATTACAACAGCAACATCTACAACAACACACACTAAAACTGTGTTTGAGGACTTACATCTGTGTAGTCTTGATGTAATCATGAACTCTCCTCCATGATCCACACTAGAACACACACACACACACACACACACACACACACACACACACACACACACACACACACACACACACACACACACACACACACACACACACACACATGAATCTTACTTGACAACAACAGTTCCTATATCAATATAACAATATATGAAACATAAAATAACCTTAATGTAATAATGTATAATTATGACACACGTCAAGCTTTTTACACCAGACAAGCATGGACACACTCACACACACACACAACTGAAACACACACACACACACAACTGAAACACTCACACACACACACAACTGAAACACTCTCACACACACAACTGAAACACACTCACACACACAACTGAAACACACTCACACACACAACTGAAACACACTCACACACACAACTGAAACACACTCACACACACAACTGAATCGCTCTTACACACACAACTGAAACACACTCTCTCACACACACACACACACAACTGAATCGCTCTCACACACACACAACTGAATCGCTCTCACACACACAACTGAAATGCGCTCACACACACAACTGAAACACACTCACACACACACACACAACTGAAACACACTCACACACACAACTGAAACACACTCACACACACAACTGAATCGCTCTTACACACACAACTGAAACACACTCTCTCACACACACACACACACAACTGAATCGCTCTCACACACACACAACTGAATCGCTCTCACACACACAACTGAAATGCGCTCACACACACAACTGAAACACACTCACACACACAACTGAAACACACTCACACACACTCACACACAACTGAAACACACTCACACACACAACTGAAATGCGCTCACACACACAACTGAAACACACTCACACACACAACTGAAATGCGCTCACACACACAACTGAAAAACACTCACACACACTCACACACAACTGAAACACACTCACACACACACAACTGAAACACACTCACACACACAACTGAATCGCTCTCACACACACAACTGAAACACACTCACACACACACAACTGAAATGCGCTCACACACACAACTGAAACACACTCACACACACAACTGAATCGCTCTCACACACACAACTGAAACACACTCACACACACACAACTGAAATGCGCTCACACACACAACTGAATCGCTCTCACACACAACTGAAACACACTCACACACACAACTGAATCGCTCTCACACACACAACTGAAATGCGCTCACACACACAACTAAAAAGTATTTCAGTATGTTGTATGACAGTATTTCAGTTGAAACGGAAGGTGGTTAAAGTACCCACTCCAGTCCAGTTGGTGGCAGTAGTGCACCTCAAGACGAATAACTAGAAGTTGTTGAAAGAAAGTGTAGTAGTAGATAAACTTTATTCAAAGCTATTCATTTACATTGTATGCCAAATTTAACAATTTAGACTCATCTACTTAAATATAGTTATATGTGTTTCGCGCTTCCACTTTATGAAATGCAATTAAAAATAAATAAATACATAAATAAATATACAAAGAAATGTAAAAAAGCAAAAATACACAAATAAATACAAAAATAAATATATAAAGAAACGTAAAAAAAAGTACAAATAAATGAGTATTTATACTTTTATTTCCTTATTTATGTATAATTGTATTGTTTCACACATTTATTTATTTATTTCTACATTTATTCATTTATTTATTTCCACTTTTATTTATTTCTACATTCTTTTGTGTATTTATGTTTTTATGTCTACATTTATTTATTTTCACATTTATTTATTTCCACATTTATTTATTCCAACATTTCTTTCTCCGTATGCTAATGAGGGGGGCGTGTCGCGTTTCAAACTGATCAATATGCTTGCTTGGGAGTCAGTGAACTGTGCGCTGGTTTCTCTCCACGTTCTGCACTGGTGTGAGAGTCTCATCGTCAATAATCACAAGCCAAAAAAGCAAGCTATCAGCTATCATATTCATGTGTGCTATGTGTGTTAACCCTATATAGCCTACCCTATAGATACAGTTAGGGTGATATACACGACTTAAAATGTGAAATTGCCCAAACAGCACTTGCATTTCGTTTGGTCACACACCACAAGGTGTCACTGTAGCCTCAAAGCTTCAGCACTGCCACTCTGAGTTTGATTGCTCATGTCTGAGTTAAAACACGCCCTCCTCATTAGCATACGGAGAAAGAAATGTTGGAATAAATAAATGTGGAAATAAATAAAATGTAGAAATAAATAAATGTGAAAATAAATGTTGACATAAAAATAAAAATACACAAAAGAATGTAGAAGAATGTAGAAATAAATAAAAGTGGAAAAAAATAAATGAATAAATGTAGAAATAAATAAATAAATAAATGTGTAAAAAATACAATTATACATAAATAAGGAAATAAAAATATAAATACTAATTTATTTGTACTTTTTTAAACATTTTTTGTATATTTTTTTATGTATTTATTTATGTATTTTTTTCTTTTTTACATTTCTTCATATATTTATTTATTTATGTATTTATTTATTTTTAATTAAGTCAGCTTTGGCATTCCATACCAGTTCCCGCAAATGAGGTGAATTGACTAACATAGATAATGCATCTGTCTTTTCTATCATTTCACTGTAGCTCAGCATCGCGATGTAACGCTAACATTATTACTTTAACTTAACAGCAGCAGTAAAACTTCTATGAAAAGTTTCTATGATGGTTTAACTTTTCAATCAATCTGTGGTTCAAGAGAGGCTGATATAAATTAGCCTACCCTATTAATCTATTGATTTAATTCTTGCATGTTTTTCGTTGAGCATGATCACAGTTCATATTCAAACCTACCTGATTAAAGGGCACCTATTATGGAAAATACACTTTTACATGGTGTTTGAACACAAATGTGTGTTGGCAGTGTGTGAGCAAAACCACCCTAGAATGATAAAAATCCACCAAGTGTTTTTTTTTACAATCTCAATAAATCAGAATGAGCTGTTCTAAGATTTAGCTCTTTGTGACGTAGAATTGAGCAAGGGGTTTGATTGACAGTGTGGTTGTGGCATAGACACCGCCCTCGGTGATCTGTACACATCATCCTCCATTGTTTCAACGACAGCCGGTAATGTCTCTTGGAAACATAAGTGTTCTGTTGTGGGATGAGATGTAATAATGACATAAGTTTTCACTTATTTCGACATCAGAGCCACTGAAAACACAGTGGATGTATTGTATTTTGGATGTTTAATTGGCGCCTTTCCTTCGTAAATAAGTTTGTTTGAGCGAATCATTTTCTGACTGACTGTTTTGTGAACGAGGGTCAATTCAAAGCAAGTCTGGTTTCAAAGTTAATCCTCAAGTGTGGATCGTCGTCTACTGTCGTCACCTCCAGTAACAGTAAGTGTATTTTATGATTTTTCAGCAAATAGTCTTTTCAGTCGATGTCAGCCAATTCAACAACAAATGCGTCTAAAGTTGTTGTCGTCGTAGGATGTCTGTGTATATAATTTAAACCTTGTTTGTATAGTGTGTAACCACACGTTTATAAATATATATATATATATTTATTTATTTTATTTTTTTTAAAGATATTGTATTAAAAACTGAATATTAGACATGTGCCGGTATTTGGTAATGCGATAAATCGCGGTAATGAATATGCACGATATTGTTATCGCAGGCTCTTTTAAAATACCGTGAAAAATAATAGATTCGACTTTAGACTTTTAGAGCGTGCATTACTTATTTTCCTTCATCCGCTCAAACACTGCTTGCTGCGCAAAACGCGCACACTCTGATGTAAACAATCCCCACATGTACTGTATAAGCACTGTGTGTATTCGGCAGTGCGCACTAGTCTAATGTAAACAATCCTCACATGATGAAGAAGCATGGCGAAACGCTCCCGGCGATTTATCCCCGCAGGGCTGCCAACTCTCACACATTCAGCTTGAGACTTTCAGACAGGACGCGGAATACGCGCGCAACTCGCAGGGATGTTTTGTTGCTGCGTCGACCTGCATCGACCACGCCGGGTTTAAAGTTCAAAATAGTTAAACTTTTTATTTGTAAAATGATAAATCACGTTGTATCTGAAGGGCAACGTTGAACCAAGTAGCCAGCGTCGCGCATTCCGAGTCCTGTCTGAAAGGCGATTAACGCATTTGGCATTTTTCACACGCTCTCCCACAGAGAAAAATCACAGAGCAAAGAGGACACTGACACCGACAGACTAGACAGAGCAGGTTACTTCTGATATGAAAGTTGTCATTGATAAATTGATAAAGTTGTTGATAAATCAGCTCTTCTGATCACAGATCGTTGCTCCTCAGTTCAAGTAAACCGATCATGTTACTTTAGTTTTTATTTAAAGATACAGTACTACTTACCGAAAGGTATATTTACTTGTATGTTTACTTGCGCCACGTCTTTAAAATTCGAACACATTATTCTCTATGAGTGTACACACACCGGCGGCGCCGTTCGGCGTCTGTCCGCGGCGCCCAGCAACAGCTCAGGACCGTGTTCAAAACCCTGCTGCGCCACAGAGCGCCATTTACATAGTTTTTAAATTATTTTTGTCTCAAATCGGTGCTGACGGATCCTGACTTCGCCCTATGCTGCAATATACATTTAGTTTTGCATTTATTTACAGAAATCAGCTGCTTGAATGACAATTGCTGATGTTATTGGATTTTTCAGGTGAGATTCTCAATTCATTCAGTTAACGGATGCTCTGAAGTAAAGATTTCAGACCGCAGACTCAGCAACGATTGTATTTAATTGTACAGTACAATAATAACAGACACTATCTTCATGTCATTAAACATTACAATATTGCTGGCCATACACTGATGAGAAAGTCCGGGTGCGCTGTGCATTTAGATTCTAACGCTTTCACTGTGATTTAGTTGGTTTATATCATTTAATATAGTTAAAGAATGAGTCAATGAATGAAATGAAATCGCTGCGCTGCGTGAGGAGAGTAGCCCCATTCACACAGCGAGTTGATCCCAGGAAATTGCCGGCAAAT